GCCGTTGATGGTGCGCAGTTGTTCCGAAGCTCCTGGGGCCCTTAGTATAGAGCAGAAACAGCCTCATGGCAAAACGTTCCGTGTCTCGTGGAGAGACATGGGTACATCCGGCCAATCACCCGCGACGCATTCTTTCGTTGCACCCATTTGCCTTGAACGATACGATATTTTTCCGGCATTTGGCCATAGAAAAATTCTCTGGAATCCAGAACCTTCTCCGCGTCCCTCCTCCTCCCGATCTGCAGACACTTTTGACCGTTAACCATAACCGTCCTTGCTCCGGTATCCTCCAAATGCTGCATGTGCGTGTTGATGGCAAAGAATGCGCTCAGCGTGGTCTTATGAATGCGAGCTCTATTCAGTGCCGCCTGCGCATCTTCTGGGTCAAACACCACATTTTCAAATCCGTCAAGGTGTACTTGGAGTCGGATGACTTTGTCGCTCTTCTTTTGCATGGAAATGCGAAAGACGATGGCAAGCTTCGGGAGCGCACAAATAACGACCTTGTATGTACCGTTCGATCTCATTGACCGGCCCAAGGTCATCATTGTTTGCATCCCGAAGTTGGAAGCGAGCTCTGTCAGTACCCTTATAGACGTATTTAAACAGGTATTTGACCGAGTCAAAGGAGAAGCAGCATTCGAGGTTGATGTGGGCACCAAACCGAAGCAGGAGGTATGGGTTGTACGGCACGACGTGACGGTTGTCAAGTACGACATCCACCCGGTTCACCGTATACCGAACAGTCCTTCCCTGGTCTCGGCGTCTGTACTTGGGATAACCGTCTGAAATCAGAGTGGTGTCTCTGAATTCTTTTGGGAATCCTTTAGTGCAGGTATTGTCTTGCATGCAGGGCGACGAAGGATTATGGGCACCGCAAGGCCGATGGATCATATTGGTCGAAACCAATTGAAACAATTCGGGATTTGTGTCGGAATCAGGGAGCTCAGCTGAGATGATATTATCAACCTCGTCAGATGTTCTGAGCTTTGAATCCTCCTTCAAAAATAGGACCATATGACGGTGCGGAAGCCCTCGTTTCTGAATTCAATCACCGAAACGTAGGCAGCCATTTCTCCGAGGATGTGCTTTTGAAAAGTTCATCATCGAGTGCTCTCATTTTTAATTCGAACACTCTTGCAACCAAATCTGGACGATCAATTGCAGTCTGGCCTGGGTAAAGACCTTCCTGAATTTCTCGCCAGTTCGGATTGCAAGTGATGAGTCAAAAAGAGATCTGGCTTTCCGTACTTGGTCATAATGGCCACTGAATCCTGATAGTGTCCGACTGAATTTCGACCACTGCCTTGATGACCGGCGCCCAAAATAATCTTTCTGCCTGCAGGACCTTGACCATGGGAATTCATGTGATCGGTGAGGCCACGGACCGTATCCAGCCGAAGTTCACGCTGATGAGTCAGATAATAATTAAGCCTATTCTGTTCAGTCTTGGCGAAGGCATCCACGTAATGTGTTGGCAAAGTTTGCCGCCGTGGCGGATAGGATTGAAGCTTGCCGGACGGGCGTATTATAGGCGAATGTTCTCGTTGAGATACCCGGTTCGGCGGACCGTCATCAGCAATAGCCGGTTCGTCATCGTCAGAGTTACCACGACGGCCAGCATTTCCCACTTGCTCCGGAATGTTAGGGTGCCACCCCTCTCCACCCCGAGGGAAGAAGAGAGGATAACAGAGTGGTTCGCCTCTTTCTGCAAGTAGTGGATCTGCCTGAGGCCGCCGTCTCGCTCGTGAATATAGAACACCGCTCGCCGGGTATCGACTCATCGTCACCAACGTAAACAACGGCAATCTCATTGGATGTAGGCGCATTGAACCGTCTTTGGTCGTCCCTTTTATCTGTTCGAAAGACCAACTGCGCTGGAGAGCTTCCCGCCCATCGGCAGCTGCTTGATCAGATTCCCTCTTTTGACACCTCTGCCATCATCATCAATGATTGAACATAGATATTGACGTTTTGCAGGAGGAGATGGAGGTTGGCAAAGGCCCTGATCGCAGTGCCGATTGATGCCTGACCAGCTAGCTCGTTGGCCGCTTGCTCGGTGTCCATTATGTATATTTGGGCATACTGGGCTTGCTCTCCAGGCTGTGGTCTCATAGGGCCGACCAAATGGTACACTGCTCCATGGATCCGATAAGGCCGTGGTCCTCTTCCGGGCGGAGCATCCATTTGGGCCGTCATTGAAGCCATAGCTAGACCGCTATTGTAATTTCGAATGTTCGCCCGAAAATCTTTCGATTCTCGAGTATCCCCTTTGTAAAGATCTTCCAATTCCTGGGGGAAATTGTCGAACAACGGAAATAGCAATTTTGCCATGGCCACAACACGAATGGAAACTGCCGCTCGGGGATTTTGTTTCGACTGCGTAATGCAATGCGCCACAGCAGCTGCAAGGTATGTCCGGCTTTCCAAGATTGTGGACGGGGGGAAACGCATCCGGATTCCGAGCAGCACCTGCGCGCGCAGCGGCCGTGTGGCGCAGTTGCTGCCGGTGAGCCGCGGTCCGAATAGCATTCCCCTCCAGACGCAATACTCTTTGGGATGAGGATTCTCGGTTTCGTGAACTTCCCATTGAAACAGCAACTCGACTGAGACGCTCCGAGCGCCGCGAAGGCGATTCTCTAGAGCGTCTTGCCGCTACACGCGCGGCCCGAGCGAGATTCTGATTCTCACGTTCACTTGTGCTCAACCGAGACTCCTGCAACCTTTTAGAGTAGAGGTCCTTGGTTCGCCGTGCGGCTTGCTCAGCTGGGCTCTCATTAGCACGTAGCACCCTCACCCGGGCAGTGGTTGTTTCACGCAGTGCCCTTTGACTCGAAGTCGGCGTGGCCACACCAAAACGATTCGCGGAGCGCAAGGATAGCGATTCATCGTCACTCGACTGAGGGTCAACATGCCGTCTGGCATTTCTTATTTTCTCGAGGCGATTTTCGTGACCCTCAGGAGTTTCCCTGGCTCGTTGATCTCGTTTACGGGCCGCCTCGGACTTTTTTTTCGAGTTCAATTGCGAAATGGGCGTGACATTGGCTAGATCTTCGACGGATTGCGATGGGAGGTGCGATTGATCAGGAGTTCCCTGGGAGCTATGCAAGCGTTTCGCACGCCTTGTCGCGAGTTGGGATTCATGCTCCTCATGGGTTCCTCCGACTCGCGGTTCCCTTTTGCCTTCCGCGTCAGACTTTCGCTTCCGTCGCTCGCGTGAACTCGGAGTCTGGCTCAACGAAACCTCAGGCACATCGACAGGACCTTGAGCAAGTACCGGATCGGCCGGGGTCCGCTGTAAACTTTGGTCGTATTCCAACCTCAGTTGTACACGTTCCGCGCGACTAATCTTTTCCTTCTTTCTCTGTATTTGTACAGGCTCAGGTTTTAAAACAGGCGCGGGTTCTATCTGCTGTCGAGGCACCCAAAGCTTCGGAATCAGGGCCCAGCGTTTGCCGCCGGGTTCGGAACGAAAATCCCGAGTCAGACAGCTTCTTTCCGTATGGAGCGTACGGTCGAGTTACTGCTGGTATTCGGCACCGAAGGCATTTCTCACGATCTGCATGGGATGCCGCGGTGTTTGAGGATAGGCGCCGCGGGGTGTTGTCCCGGAAAACAGCTGGAGGGTGCCGCTACTCGCCCAGCCAATTGAACCTCGGTATTGCTACCTCTTCCCGGGTCCAATCGGCAGGCCTCTTCTTCGTACCCTGCTGAGGCTCAGCTGTTTCCGACACCCTTACCGGGTCCGGCAGATCGGTACTGGTGCCAACAGGACCGACTACGACCGTCAGGCCAAACCATCCCTTCCGGGTCTGGCTTGTCCAGCAACAGGCTAGCTGAACCCCTTGGCGTCCCAAGGGGCGAGCGTTTAAATTTGTATGGCCATCGGAGGACGACTCCCCCTTGAGCGTATCGGCCAGAAATTCGTCACCCATCGCTGGGGCGCTCTAGGAAGGTGACTGTTCAGTGTTAACCTTTCGGCCAGCCACCCGGAAGCGCTTTGAAACCTTGGAGGTTATCACCTGGGAGTGGGTTAGGTGGGGGGCGAGTCGGGACGGGCTGGGGACACAAGGGTACTCCCCAGGCGCTCAAAGGGCGGCCCTCTCCGAAACAAAACAGCTCTATCCTTGGAAATTCAACCAATTTTAAAAATTTAAAAGGTAAAGATTCAGGAGATTCTCCTCTATCTTTCCAGTTTGCCAATTATCCCCGATTGATCATCGGGAGCTGGCAAAAAGCAATTTTACAAAGGTGCATTTTATGCAGCGAAATTAAAATATTTTCAAAAACTAACTACTTGCGCATGATCCCCACCCTTAATTGCATAAACGGTCCAAATTCAAGCCCGGAATTGCATCAGGGCTCCGAGTTATGGCCCGAACACCACGGCCCGAGACGCGATTTATTAAGGACCTTTCAGAAGAATGCTCATAAAAAATGTATCTTGATGAATTTCGCAAAATCCCGAAAAATGTATCTGGGCAATTACATTTCTCATTTCCACTCCAAAAATCAAGACCCAATTCCCTCTAGGCGCTGAGAAAACTTCCGGACAACGCGGCAAAAACCCGTTTTGTTAAGGGTTTTTTACTTTTTTGCTTATAAAATTGTTAAATGAAGGAATTTCGCAAAACAAAAAAATGCATCACTGACAAATGTGTTTCTCCACCTCCATGCAAAAATCAGCTCGAAATTCGGCCTGACGGCCGAGAAAACGGCCGTACAGAAAACAAACATACTTTTCTCGCTTATAGGATAGGATATATTTGAGACACATTCTAATTAGTAATTGATAATATATTTTATCTAATAAATGTTAATAGAAAATATATTTTATCGGCGTCTTTGCTTAAAAAGCTTCTTTAAAAATCTCCCTTTTAAAACGATGCTTAGGCTGCCCTTAAACTACTTTTAAGTTACCTCGTGTATGTAGAAAAGGCGATCAAATAAATAAAATTAGGTTCAACGCTGACCAGCTACTATTACAGTGAAAAATCCTAACCCGAATCCCTCTCCGCCTAAAACATCTTTTTTCAAATCCCCATTTTTACCTACGTAAATTTACTTAAAAAATACCTTAAACAACTCCTGCAGCGAGAAGAAGCCGTCCTTGTAGAAGGAGAACATTCGGGGTGACAGTATCTGCTTCTTATTTTTGCTCTGACTTTGCGGCAGGATGGGGAACACTTCTGGGGACAGAATCGCGAACTTGTCGTTGCGGTCCGAGGAGCCGTTCTGAAGGATGCATATTGTAGGTTAAATAATAGCCATTTTTGTTTGGTGTAAACTGCTCATTCACACTTAAAAAAGCGCATCAAAATTTTCAAAAAATGTGGGTCAAAACGTTGTAATAATGAGTTCTGGCTGGTCTACTCAATGCGAAAACGATCTTTATTTAACCAGCCGTTCTGAAAAAGCATACTGTAGCCGTAAATTTATTACCATAGTTTTTCGTTGACTTAATATGCTAATTTAAACTGGAAAAATACCGCAAATTTTGAGAAACACATGTTCAATCAATAGGTTGTAGTGAGTTCTGGATCGGCTATTTATTTAGAATAGCCTCTAACTGTAAAGTGTTTTTACTCAGGCTGGCGTTTTAGGATGGGACCAAGCCTATCTTGTTCAGAATTTTTTGCTGATTCCGAACCCGTTTTCCAAATTTGCTGCGGACTTCGCGTTGAAAAGTGATTTTTGGTCTAAATTAAGCTTAAAAACGGCATAAATTCGGATGCTGGCCCACTATTCCCTGTCTGGGTCCAGGTATTGTTGTGCCCCTTATCTACCCTCCCGAAGCCCCCTTCCCAGTTGGCACCATGGTGCATTGGTAAGCTGTTCGCTTGCCAGGCGCAGGGCGGCGGTTCGATCCCCGCCCTGCACAATTTCTTTTGCTTTTTGCACAAAAACACATGATTTTTTGGATAAAATCGTGCTTTGACCTCTAAAACCATTACCGAGCCAGTTTTAACGTCGGAGGTGACGACAACTCAAAAAATAACGCAAAAAATCCAGATTTAGTCAATTTTTTTAGCCTAAATGTCGAATAACTTTTTAAATGAAGGTCGGCAGCAAATTTGGAAACCAGATTCGGAATCAGCGAAAAATTCTGCACAAGATAGGCTTGGTCCCATTCTAAAACGCCAGCCTGAGTAAAAACACTTTACAGTAAGCTTGATTTCTATGAATTTCGGTACTTTTCCATTCTTTATAAATTTGTATGCATGCTAACCTAAAACTTTCACGTTAAGTGGATTAAAGAACTTTATAAAATTGTATGCTAGAACAAAAAATACAGGTTTGAATTTCGAAAAATATGTGTTTCGGCTTGGACTGGTAGCAAGGAAAACATCTGTACCAGTGTTCTTGTATGTCGAGTAAAAAATGAACCATATTTTAGCCGAATAAACCGCTTTAAAATAAGTTCTAGTAAGAAGTATAAAAGTTTTCGAAAGGTTATGAATTTTTGCTCAAAAATGCATGAAAAGTATCCAAGAAATCAACTGAACCATGTATGTTTCACCTAGACAACGCCTACCCCGAAAAACCCGCAGTTAATTATGTTGATGTTCACGCTTTACTATACCTTTTCCCTAATTTAAACTTCAGGCAAGGTTATTCTTTATAAAAAAGTAATATATGAATTTTCTTGGTAAAAACCTATTAAACGAATGCTATCGCTGTAAAAAATCATTATTTTTTGAAAAATTGAAAAATATGCTTCATCTACATTCATAGTTCAATGAAAATCATGGGTTTTTAATGGCTGGTCGTTTTTCTTTTTCTACAATATGGATGTCGCCAAAACTACAATGTTTCTCCTAAAGGTATTGCATCAATTGAATTGAAGCAAACGCACAAAATCGCACTGAATTTTTTCACGTTTTGAGAACGGAAACATGTCACATCGTCCTCAAACTGCGAAATTTCGATTGGAATTTTTGATTTTTGCAAATTTTTATCATTGTTTTTGTTTGTTATTATCCTCAGATCCTAATACAAATTTTGAAAGTAAATGCGAAAGATGTATACTTTCAAATTCCCACCAGAAACACATTGACCAAGTCGGAGGATTGGCTGTAGGCGGCTGAGGCAGCCTCAATTCGTGGCGTCTCCGTAGCGAGCGGGACGTTTAGGCGGCGAAGGGTACTGTAATTGTGGACAGTTACAGGATGCGTAATCAACTATAATAATTTTGCTGTGGTGTCCGTCAGTCTGTCAGTCTGTCTGAAGCCAACTATAACTCGAAGGGGAAAAGAGCTAGAGCTTAGCTCTCTTCGGATTCGGATAGAGCGTGGCTAGAAACCCCTTAAATGATCAAAACATTATAAAAAAGTTTTCGTTTAAATAAAAATAATTAACTTTGAAAGTGGCGCCTTAATAAAACGAGTGGGGCCTCTCCCCCGGCAGGCCACGCCCCTTTCCGCCGCCCGGTCCCACCCAACTGCCTATTTTTTTGCTTTCACATATTCTTTCTTATTTTGCTATCTATCTTAGTTAATTTAAAACATTAGTACACTTTTGAGTAATTTTTTGTGTTTTACAGAGCATATTTTCGCTAACCGGGAGGTCCCTTTCCCTGCCCTCCTTCTCTACTTCCTCTTTTTTTTCGGACTCAACGCTTCTATATCAATTCGACACTGCCGAGTTCAATGTAGTCAAAAACAGAACTCAAAAATGACGGTTAGGCAGTTAAAAATTGATTTGGTATGTTTGGGGACAGGCTGCGCGCACTTCCGAAGCGACGGGGTCCCGCCACGAAACGCCTGCGTGGTCGAGTCTCTGGCCAGTAGGCCACCAGAAAAGAGGCGTGCTTTTTTCGTTGGGGGTTTTAGCTTTATTATTTCCCTTTTCGACGTTTTGCCATTTTTGCTTTTTGCTTGCCATACTTTTTTCGAAGTTTATCGCGTTTTTTCCATGTCTTTCAATGACCTAAGTTTTTCAGATTATGAACGAGGCCGACGCCCACAGCCAACCGCGAGACCAAGCCGCAGAAACGGCTTCCTCGGCCCTCGCCCCTCATCAACCCGCCGCTAAATCGCCCACGGCCAGCAAACTCTACGAGGAGGCCGATGTCGACGAGCTGTCGCCAGAAGAAGCCATGAAAGTTGATGACACAGCCCTCGCCAACTCCTCGCCCTCGGCCAGCAAGGGAAAACAAACTTTCGCGGAGTACCTTACGAAGCTGAGGGATGTCGAGCAGTCTCTAAGGATTCTTCGCAACAAAGACCGTGCACTTTCGATCCAGCGATCGCGGGCTGAAGCAAAAGAGAATGCTCTACTACGGAAATACGGCGAGACTGACGCAGCCCGCCTCGCGACCAAAAAGGAATTCGAACGAGTGATGGCTGTATATGACACAAGTTTGAACGACGACCAGCGAAATGATTGCTAATCGAAAATGGCAGGCCGAAATCGAGGGACACGAGGCCGACGTCCACCAAGGCTTAGCCGCTGCCAATAAAATCAAATCAGAATTGTATTTTGATCCTAACGATGATTCATTCTGAATGATGTTATTCCTGTTATAAATGCTTTTCCTTTGAGGTGTTCAATTATACGGCCGGTCCTGTCCTGTCCGATACTTGAAATCTAACCGATTTTTTATCAGTACTGATTTTAGGCGTCGGTAACTGCCACGAAATCCCGCGGCGTGGAAGGTAACTTTCCTTTTCCTTTCTCAATCCTGATTTTAGGTATCGGTGCACCGTCGCCCTCGGCAAACGAAATCCTACGGCGTGGCAAGGTAATTTTTCCTTTCTTTCCTCGAATTCCGATTTTAGGCGTGAGCCACAGTCGCTATCGCCCTCGGCACCCGAAATCCTTCGGCGTGGAAAGGTAACTTTTCCTGTTTTCCTTTCTCAATCCTGATTTTAGGTATCGGTCACCGTCGCCCTCGGCACCCGAAATCCTGCGGCGTGGAAAGGTAACTTTTCCTTTTCTTTCCTCAATTCTGATTTTAGGTATCGGTCGCTATCGCCCTCGGCACTCGAAATCCTTCGGCGTCGAAAGGTAACTTTTCCTTTTCTTTCCTCAATTCTGATTTTAGGTGACCTTAGTCGCTATCGCCCTCGGCACTCCGAAATCCTTCGGCGTCGAAAGGTAACTTTTCCTTTTCTTTTCTGAATCCTGTTTTTTTTGAAGAGTCCGCCTTCGCGTTTGGAAGATATGCCACGCCCTCGGCCAACAGCCAGCCAGCGAGCAGCAGCCGCTGATCGCCGACGAGTGCAACAACAGGTTCGTCGAGCCGGGCAGTCGGCAGCGGATGTCGCCGCCAGGAGGGATGCGGACGCTGCTCAACATCGGAACCCGCCGTCGCGATACCTCTCCCAGTACTTCCGCGCAAACTCGACAAGCCGATGCCGGACAACACCAAGCAAGGAGACGCACGATGTCACCCGGCACGTCCGCGCAAATTCGCCAAGTTAATGCCGGACAACAGCAAACAAGGAGACGCACAATGTCGCCCGGCACTTCTGCGCAAACTCGACAAGCCGATGCCGGACAACACCAAGCAAGGAGACGCACGATGTCACCCGGCACGTCCGCGCAAATTCGCCAAGTTAATGCCGGACAACAACAAACAAGGAGACGCACAATGTCGCCCGGCACTTCCGCGCAAATTCGTCAAGTGAACACCGCGCAACATCAGCAGCAACGGGCCCAATTGACGCCAGTACAGGTGGTAGCGGTCAACCAGCAGCGTCAAACGCTACGACAGCAACGAGCGGCCGCTGCCATTCGCCCAGGCCGTGACCCGAGTTCGCGCCCCGCCCAGCACTCCCTCGGACAAATGACCCGTGAATGTAGCGGCTGCAGGGCCTTACATTTCGACACTGAAGGGACTGGCAGACGCCCACAATCATTTCAAGCGTGCTGTGGAGGCGGGCAAGTAATTCATGACCCGTTTGGAACGACGCCTCAAGAGCTTGAGGTGTTATACGATCGCACTCACCCGGCCTCGCCTAACTTCCACAACAACATTCGGCTCTACAATGGCGGGCTGGGGATGGCTTCAATGGCGGGTGATTTTCGACCCCCAGGCGGACATGGACCTTACGTGTTCCGGATCCACTCCAGCCACTACCACCGTACCGGACCTCTCCATCCCAACCAAGGCCAAGCTCCACAGTGCGCGCAAATTCTCATTATGGATACAGAGGAGGCGGCAGCCGAGCTCGCCGGTCGGCCGATGAATCGAACCTGTGAAACTGCCCTGTTTCGACAGCTGCACCAGATAATCAACCGCGAAAACCGGTACGCGCGAGCATTCAAATGCATGGACGAGGTTGTAAAAGAAGAAGAACGTCAAGCTGCAGCGGCCGGGCGTGCGCGGCAACCGGATGTAAAGATGGTGTTTGTGACAGACGGGCGAGACGACCAGCGACGTTATAACGCGGCTACCGCCACCGAAGTCGCCGTAATTTACGTTGGCGACGAGGAGGACATCCCAGGCGAGCGACAGTTTGTCATCCATGAACGCAACCAGCCTCTGCGCACCATCAGCATCCTCGATCCTCGCCTCGATCCGCTGACCTACCCATTGCTTTTCGCAACCGGTCGAGATGGATGGCACCCCCAGCTAACCATCGCTAACCCCACCCTCCGGAAAAGGACACGTGTGACGATGCGACGATATTATGCACATCTTTTCTTCGTAAGGCCTGGAAAGTTCAATCCTCTTCTCCGAGCTGGCCGCCTCGCGCAACAATATGCCGTAGATGTCTTTATGAGAGTTGAACAGAACGATCTGAATTATATTCGGCAGAACCAAAAGCTGCTCCGTCTGGATGATGTGGCCGGCCTTCGTCAGCATCTAAACAACAACAACCTCGATGATCCTGCGCCCGGACGGCAAATCCGGCTAGGATCGAACTTCAAGGGAGGGCCCGGTTACATGCATGCCCGTTACAAAGACGCTATGGCTCACGTGGCGCGTTTTGGAAAGCCCGACCTTTTCATCACGGTAACCTGCAACCCACGGTGGCGAGAAATTGAGGAAAACCTGTTCGCCGGTCAAACAGCTTCTGACCGCCCAGATTTGGTGGCACGCGTCTTCGACCTCAAAGCCCAAGCCATTCTCAAGGAGCTCACGAAAGACGGGATTTTTGGGGAGCCCAGCTGTTGGATCTACGTCATAGAGTACCAAAAACGCGGGCTTCCCCATATGCATCTGCTACTGACATTGAAGTCAGCCTACAAGATTCGAACCGAAACTGACGTTGACAACATCATTTGTGCGGAATTGCCCGACAAAGACACCGACCCAGAATTGTACAATATCGTGTCAACTTGCATGATGCACCGCCCATGCGGATTTGACAACCCGGCCTCGCCATGCATGTCCGACAACAAATGCCAGAAGGGATTTCCAAAGCCGCCTCGCGATCATACCACTATGAACGACGATGGCTATCCTGCTTATCGTCGACGGAATGATGGCCGCTTTGTGATGTGCCCTAAGAACGGACGGGACTTCAAACTCGACAATCGCCATGTCGTCCCCTATAATCCGTACCTTACGCGAAAATATGACGCCCACATCAACGTCGAATACTGCGGAGTCGTGCATGCCGTCAAGTACATCTATAAGTACTGCTTCAAAGGCCCCGATCGCGCTCGCGTTGAAATCTCCAGCGGGGAGCCACGGGACGAGATCAAGACGTTCCTCGACACGCGCTATGTCTGCGCGCCCGAGGCCCTCTATCGTCTCTTCGGTGGTCAAATGGATGACCAGTCGCACTCAGTCGACCGGCTTCCCGTCCACCTACCAGACGGAGCCACCGTGTGTTTTGATGCGGGCGATGAGGAAAACGCATTGGAAAGAGCGGAGAACAATGGCACAATGCTCACCGCATTCTTCAAGATCAACCAGGAATGCCATGAGATTGAACAGCAGACAGGTGTCATTCCAATCCCGGATTCCCGCCAGATCTTCTACAACGAGTTCCCGGAGAACTACGTTTTCCAAAAGGGCACAAAGGTCTGGAAAGTACGCGAACGCGGCGGCCACAAGAAGATCGGTCGCATCGCTGCCGTCGCACCACAAAACACCGAGCGTTTTGCCTTGCGTCTGATGCTCCTATATGGCAAGGGCTATCGATCGTATGAGGATGTACGCACGGTCGGCGGAACCGTCTACAACACCTTCGTCGAAGCAGCCCGCGAGGCCGGATACCTCTCCGATGATGTCTGTTTTGAGCAGGCCCTGAACGAAGCCGCGGGATTTCGGATGCCTAGCACTCTGCGATCGTTCTTTGCGTCGTTGCTGTGCTTTGCGGATCTTTTCCCACCTAAACCTGACGAGCTTTGGGATAAGCACAAGGATCAATTCTGCGAAGACTTTATCCACCATGGTCACGCGCAGCACGTAGCAGAATCGCTGGCATTCCACGACATTTGCGATCGGATCGCGGAGGCGAACAAAAGACCAGAAACGTACTTCAGGGTGCAGCTCCCGCGGATCAATCCCGGCAACCCGCCACCCGACTATGCAAAGCACCGTCGAATCGGTGATGACATGTACCAACGACTGAACGTCGAACAAAAAGTTGTCGTTGACGCCGTCCTCGACGCCCTCTTCGATCGACCTACCCCCGATCGGAAAAAATGTCATTTCATTGATGGCCCGGGTGGAAGCGGAAAGACATTCGTGTACCAGACGATCTACCACCTCGCGATCGCCGAACAGAAGAACATCCTCAATGTAGCTTGGACGGGTATATTACAAATTCTATATAAAAATTTTGTTTTCAGGTATTGCGGCCACCCTACTACCCGATGGCAAAACGGTCAGCTCAGCCTTCCAGCTAAGCATCACAGACCACACATCAACGCTCAAGAACCAAGACAAACGGTCTCAAGAATTGCGAAAGGTTTATTTAGAATTTTGCTTTTTACACCGATCCATACTAACCTACCTTTTTCAGGTCGACGCCGTCATCTGGGATGAAGCGCCCATGGCCCCGAAAAAAGCTCTCGAAGCCATCGATGATAAGCTCAAGGATCTGATGGGGAGCCATCTTCCCTTTGGCGGCAAAATCTTCCTTCTTGGCGGCGACTTCCGACAAGTCCTCCCGGTCGTGGAACGTGGCAGCCGCCGAGACATGGTCGAGGCTACGATCAAGCGTTCCCGCCTTTGGCCCGAATTTCAACAACACAAGCTGTCGATCAACATGCGGGTCACCGGTAACGACCAAGTGTTCAAGACGTGGCTGCTCAAGATCGGAGACGGTGCCGACGACCACGAAGGAGAGCTCGAAGTTCCGTCCTCGATGTCCATTCAAAATAGCCTCGCCGATGAAATTTTTGGGCCTGCCTTCAAAGGAGAACCATTGGACGTCTCCCTTCGGACCATTCTCTCACCAAAAAACGCTGACGCGCTGGATCTTAACAATGAGGTGTTAGACCGTCTCCCCGGCCAGCTCTTCACTTTCATTAGCCAGGACGATGTCGAAAGCGATAGCCCGAGTGACGGCTATAATTATCCACCGGAGTTCCTCAACCAAATCGTATGTGCCGCCCTGCCTCCACACAAGCTCCACCTGAAGCTCGGCTGCGTGGTGATGTTGCTTCGAAACCTCTCAATCAAAGATGGCATGTGCAATGGGAGCAGGATGTACGTGCGAGCTATTGGCCAACGAGTGCTAACCTGTGAATTGGCCACTGGAGAACGCAAAGGCCAAATAGTGCTCATCCCTCGAATCGACTGCCGTTATCAGTACGACAAGCACCTTTTCAAGGTTCGCCGCCGGCAATTTCCCGTTCGGCTCAGCTATGCTATGACCATCAACAAGTCGCAAGGGCAAAGCTTCGAACAAGTCGGCCTCGCCCTCAATGAACGAATCTTCTCCCACGGACAGCTCTACGTCGCGCTATCAAGGGCCACAAACCGTCAAGGTCTGCACATCGCCTCTCCCAACGGAAAAATGGACAATATCGTATATAAGGAGATTTTTGATACCTGATGTATTGTTTGCTTTTCTGTTCTTTTTGTTTGAGATAAACAGTTATTTGTCCAGGATTATTGAAATGAATCAGACCAAACCGTACAATGCGGTCTATATTTTGTATCACCACTTCGTGCATAAATTTGAAGTGCAGTTATAAGTTTGAAGGTTCCCCAAAGTCATGCAGGGCCCACGCAAAGGCCAGCTGATTAAAGCCACGAAGTGGCTTTAATCAGCTGGTAGTTGACAATTGATTCCTAACTTTATCAGATCAGATCATCATCAAACATTGAATTTGTACGATCGGACCAGCAAAAATCAGCTGCTGTAAGCCGATGGTTGAAACACTCTATTTTTTAACGAATAATTTTAATCTATTTTCCCGTTGTTTTCGTAATATAATAATACCCCGTGACTTAAACCCCAATTTATTCAAAATACGGCTCATAAAAAGGTGATGTTGGTGTTGAACGACTGCGTTAAGGAAGATGTTGTCTGCGAAGAAACCCGAATAATAATACCGTAGACCAACGAAAACAGAAGAGCAATTCCCAATTCTTCGCTTAGCTAAGCTTCAAGTTGAAGCAATTGAGTTTAATCCCGTATTTTCGGTGAATACCCTGTAAAATATGGTTTTCAAGCGCAAGAGTTTTGAACGTTTCTAACATCATTAACCGATTACCATCATAAAAAAGCATACTAAAATCGGCTCTGGTTTCTTAGCGGGGGGGGGGGGGTTACAGCTAACGCACCCTCCTTACCATAAATCAAATGTATCCCAAAAAATGTTTCGAAAATAGCCGTTTCTCCCTGCCAAGCACGGAAGTTTAGTTGGGAGCTCGTTTAATCTGTTAAAAGTATCCAACATACCGTTGATTCTCATCATTCATCGTCCGCAAATATTCATTACAATGGTCGACCTTTTCGAAGTATCGCTGCAACCGCCGAAGGCTTTCCACGTTTTTCGGGAGGTTACGTTGGGAATCCACTGAAATTGTAGTTTCGACGCGAAACATTGGTATTGGAAATGCTTTAATGCTTCGGAAAAAAAGATACATTATTCCTCATCGCTAAAAATCCAGACTCTAATGTTTTGAAACATGTTATCTACTATTTTTTGTACGAAACTTGGATTACGAAGTACTCCTCCTTACATCACTGGCTACGTGAGGGGCCATAATGACGTGATCAATCCGTTAGATTAGAGTATCCTGTGTAAGTAGGCGAGTCCATTGGGACCATGAATTTTGCGCAACGAATTTTCGGCAACTCGAGAGATAGGGGAAACGGAGAGACGCAGACGTAGTGTGTAGTTGCGGAAAATTCGTTGTGCAAAATTGATGGTCCCAGTCCTTTACGGGTCGTTTAGCGAAAGACGCGCATCTGGCCCACTAACACCACATAGGATGTCTGTTCGCATATTTGGATCGGACTCACATCCAACAAGCTTGAGGTTGGTAATAACGAGTAATCCATCCGGATTCTCGTAAGTTTTGGAAAGCGGTCTTTTTGGGGCCGTACTACGTCTTCTTGGGATATTCAGGATGCCTTTCGGCGTTAAAGCAGACGTTCAGGGAGGGGCCGTGTACTCGTCCCAACGTGTGCACCCTACGGACGTAGGGACCGCGCGCACTGCCTGCCCGTGCTGTGACAAGCCATTCCCCTCCTTTGCGACGTGGTGCGCCCCTCACCCCTCGCCAGGTTGTAGTTGTGGCTGACTGGTATCCATCCGCGCCTCCCGAGCGGGAGGCCCGGGTTCGACCCCCGGCCGCGGCAAAAATCTGCTTTTTTTCCAAAAAAACGTCCCTGAACGTGCCCTTTAATTCCGGCGTTTCTGCGTCGGGCCAGGGCCCATAGCTTCGAAAACACCGGGGTTTTTACGTGCTTCTCAATACTCCAGACACCGTGTGTGGATCAAACATTTTTATTGCCTGCGGACTATCGACTTGGTTGCGACATTTTTTTCCAAGATGGGCTGCTTTTATATACAATCACCCGATGGCATCCCGCTCATAGAGCCGTAAAAGGTATTATTGCCATTTTCTAGCAAAGTCACTTTCAAGGCCCGATTTGAGGGCCTTCCCGTGCATAAAATGCTCTAATTCTCCGTCACTTGGGGAAATCGACCCTTCTGTTTCCAATGGCGCTTTCAGAATTTTGATAAAATACAAGTTTACAAAGTTAAAGCCGGTTTTACTCATTTTTCGGGGTAATTTGCATAATGTGAAAAAATAGAAATTTCTTCATTCCTGCAAGTTGCACGCGCGGGTGTGGTGGGCCGGGGGGAGGGGGTCCGAAGGACCCGAGCTATCGGAAAGTCAAATTTATTATGCAAAGGCCGCATTCCAGCGCCCAAGGCCCGCGAAGCGGGTTTTGGGCGCTGGTCTAAAACTAAAAAAAATCCCCACTTACCACTGCGTTTCGAACGCTCCGCAAAGTCGGCGATCCGCTGCAATTTACGCTCCAGCCGATCGAGGCGTTCGGTTTCGAAGGGGTCCTCGTGTGGTGCTGAGACAATTTGGAATGTTTTTTTAAACAATTGTTCCAACGAAAATAGTAAGAAGTTTTGAATTTTCGGAATTACGAGTACGGTGATTGAAAACTTTTATCGGCTTTTAAAGGAATTGCCAACCCTTAGATTTTTGGAGTTCAGACTGATAGCTGAATCGAGATTTTCGTTGGCAACTCATCCAAAATTAATTTCAGAGTTTTACAAAATGGCGTAGAAATCGACAGCCTCCAGTTTTTGTGCCTGTCCCCGTTAAAGTCACTTAAAAGCCTGACTTACCCATGCTCCGTTTTTTCCTATTGACGCGTACCCGACGCAGCGGCCGACGCCGTTTTCTCACTCCTCGTCGTCACGTAATATGAGGGAGGCAAGGGCCGGATTATTTTCTAAAAAATGTGTTGCTTGTTTTTGTAGGTTAATTGTCTGTTGTTACATGGTTGTCTTCTTTGTCTTACAAATATACCGTATCTCGGGATTCCCGTATTTTTTTTTGATCTCTTCACGGTTAATTTAAATTCATTTCAAATTTCGAAACTCAACTGACTAGGGAATGCTTCAGGGAAATTATGTTTGGTAATGCATTTGCTATAAAACATTTCTTCCAAAAAAAAATTCTTCACCTGAGATTTGATGCGATCCCGCTCGGCGAGCACGTGCGTCACGCATATGGCTAATTTTTGCACTAAAAATGTGCTATTTTTTATTACGTAACGGTATTCAATTGCGTAAAATAATTTTCTTGAAAAATAACTGACCGGTTTTCGCGTTCCTAGAGCACTCGTCGAATACGATGCCCTCCAGTCGCCCAATGGATCTTGCCTCGTGCCGTCCTTTTTGCCTAAATGCATTTAAATATATTTCAAAATTTTCTGACACCCTGTAGGTATTTTTATTGTTCCAAATATATACTAAAATACATTCTTGAAATAAATTCGTGATCGGGTTACAAAAAATATGTTGCGAGGTCATTGATTCAGAAAAGGGATTTTCAAACGGTAATTTAGGATTCCTAGGTTCGTGGTTCTAATAGTTTTCACAGCATTATTTCAGCTGTTTTCGTTTATCCGCGCGTTTTTCTTTAAAAGAATATCACAATTTAAGTATGTAGTTATAATTGATCCATTGGAAAGTTATTTAGAAGCGCCCTCGGTTTCTCTTTTCCGTTTTTATTTTTTTTAATAATGGTACATATATTCATTTTGGAGCTTATGTCTCCCTTTACCATTTGAAAAGAAGATGTCAGTTCTAACGGTGATATAAGGTCACACCAAGACGAAACATAATTTAGGCGGTTTTGAGAAATTTTTTAAATTTTATGTATCACCGAACTGCATGGAACAAATATTTTTTCATATGTTAATTGGAGGAACTCTAATTTGTAGCAGAATACTTCATCGTTGGTATGCTTTTAGCGTTGTTTGGCTTGCGGCTTGCTTATGGCAAAACGCGAAATCCCAGTTAACATAGAAAGGGGATAGCAATTTGATCAAAGAAAATATTTTTCACGGTACCTTCAATAGGCGTAATACTTTTGTAACTTTGGTTTGCGCATGTCTTGGATTTACCGTTTATTTTATTATGTCCTTATTAGTTGTGTAAAATAAAGGGGAATTCGCTAGGAAACAAAGAAGGAAAGGTAAAGCTAGTAGAAATAAAGATACCACGTTTGCAAAAAGATGTCTCGGGTCATTGCCAGGTAAAATGGGGACGGATAGCAGCTAATCTTCCATACTTCCGATTTACCCACCTACTTATTAGTTTCATTAAATTTTTTGGATACAGCAATTTTGTAATTAAGGAAATGAACTACGGAAGTTATTATGAAGCCGCTAAAACTCGGATGGAGCTCAAAAACAGATATAATTTTAGTAGCTTTCATGCTCCGTTTGGATTGAATGTTTCAGCGACCGTGAGGGAACAAAAAACTTTTCGCATATGACTGCTCCGTATTTTAGGTTTACCGATTGTCCCTTGGCATTTTTAGTTTCTTTAAAACGGGTTTTCACTCGCCAGAAAAAAATTAAATGGAAAATTTGACTATGGAAGGTGGTAAAGCTAGCAAAATTCCAAACATCAGGGCTTTTAAAAACGATGTCTCAGCTCAGTCCCAAGTTAAAAACGGCTGAACGAAGCTAATTTGCTGTATTTCTATTTACCATCTAATTCATTAATAAAGATTTTTATGTAATTAAGAAGCTTTAAATTAAGGAAATCCACTAAGAAAGTTATTATGTAGTCGCTAAAAATTGGGAGGGAGCTCAAAAAACACATATAACTTTAGTCGCTCGAGTGCTCGATTTGGATTTTATGTTTCGGCGACCGTCAGGCAACAAAATTTTTTCCTGCCTCCTTAATCGGTATTTTGCCTTACTAGTTGTCCCTTGGTATTTTTAGTGTCTTTACAGACGGTTTTCACTCTTAAACAAGGATAAAAATTTTAGTTGCGAAAACAGATTTTCGGTAGAGAAAATATCTCTTTTCTAGCCTTGGTATGCGGAATTTGTGTAGTTTTCATTAGTATTAACTTCTTAGGCCATATTTTATTATGCACCTTTGTAACATAAATGGGATTTCATCAGGAAAATTTTAAATGGCAATGTAAATTCAATTAAAATGGGAATTTCACTATGAAAGGTGTGGTAAGGCTAGCAAAATACAAAACGCGGGCTATTTTAAAAAAGATGTCTTCTCCGACTTCCCGGTTAAAAACCGCTGAATAGAGCCGATACAGCGAAGTTCCAATTTGCCCATATCTTTCATTGCATAAAATCTAATTTAGGGAAAGTATTGGATCAGAAACCATTTTTAGACCCAAAATCGAATTTCTATGTGATAAGTATAAAAAAACCAAGTTGTAATTTATAAGATGCCCCACCTTGAGCAACCCTCTGACGGCAGCGATATACCATACTCGGTCCATCTCCTTCCGATCCAACTCCAAAATTCGGTCCTTCGGTTGAGGAATGCGATCGAGGACGCTTGGCTCAGTGGTGGCGGCGAGCAGCAGCAGCACAGCTGAAACATACACGATTTATAACGAAAGTAGCATTCGGCAAAATTAATCCCTCCGCCAAAGACGAAAATTATCATTGAAACGTTAAATTTTTAACGGATTTTAAATCAAGATTTAAAAATAGTGGCGGTTTGAAACATTTTCTTGGCGAAAATAATCTTGCCGAAATTTGAATTCCCGAGATTTCGTTTCATCGAAATTTCATTTTGTCGAAATTTTAATCCGCTGAAATCCCAATTTACGAAACGTTTGAGATGAATATACGAGGTAAGTTTCGAAAAATTCTAATTTAGACCAAAATCATATTTCGACAAAATAATAAAAATTTAAAAAAATGAAAATCAACCCATGTTGATTGCGGACATTATGATTTTAAATTTCAGCCCAAAATAATGTAAAAGAAAATAGTTATGACGAAAACCTTCCTTACCAAAGTTAATAATTTGCGAATTTTTGGCAATTTAACGAAATTAATGTTATTAATTTAATTTTTAATGCCTTAAATTACACATTGTTCGGAAAATAAAGTTTATACACAGGTACAAAGCTTAACACACTGGGGTAATTTTCCGAGCTCAGTAAGGTTTTCTCTGCGCAACATTCATTTCTAATCGAATTTTTTGTCTAGTTTTCAGCGCCTTAGTCTATTAGCTTTTGAATTCAAACTCGAAAGACGTAAGCATCTAATTCAAATTTAAATTCCGTAAATAGCTAAAAACTGACTGAGACATGCGAGCATCCACCCGTCCTCCAAGCATTCAACGGAGTCGTCTAAAAGCTAGGGATTGGCTTAAACTTGGGTTTCTTCTGAAAATATGAAACGTACAATAGAAAAATAATATTCCGGAATGAATCTCTATATTGTGAATTGCTAAAATAGAAATAATTATGCACATAAAATTTTCGGAGGTAGAGCAGCATACGGGATCCAATTATTTGGTCCTCATCGAGTCGACCCCAAGACAATTGGCGAAACATGCATAAATTCAGTGGTTTTTTAAAATATCTTTAGCAACTTATTCAATGTACTTTTTTATTTTTATTATTTTAAATTATTCAATGTACAAGTGCTTTTCCTGTAATACTGAGTTTTTTCGCGTCGCAAACCCAAAATCTGTGAAACATTAAATTCGCAACATTTTTCATCATTTTTGCGACAACCGGAAGAACACGTTGTATGAAACGTACTGCTCCAGTTTATAACCCAAGGTCGTCCAAAACTAGAGGAAAAACAATTATTAAACAGCTTGAAAATATTTTGCAACTGCAAAATTATTGCCCGGGGCAATAAAACGGTTTCGGGCGAACCAACTAGGTGGGGGCGAACTGTTCTGCCGGTTCCGAAAAGTCGAAAGTTGTTTCTCTCTCTCTCTCTCTCTCTCTCTGCCTCTCCCTGTCTCTTTAGGGGGGTAATCACAGGATTGTGTTGAAAGTCCCCTCCCCGGATATTCCCCCAGGGCACACCAACCCCAAAAAGCACCAACCAAATGGAAGAGAGAGAGAGAGAGAGAGAGAGAGAGAGAGAGAGAGAGAGAAAGAGAGAGAGAGACCAATACTTCTGCACCAACTTTTGATCGCTTTGAAACCTCAGGACATCACTTTCCGCTACGCTACTACTTGCACCACCCCCGGAAGGTGGGCCAGTACTCAAAGATGCACCAAGCAACACCGCAAAAAGTACAAACTGAACCGGAAATGGGGCTGGGGATGCGGGGCTAGACAGTAAGGGGCAGGCATGGCAGGGAGAGAAAACGAAAATCTTAATTTCAAATCCGGTTGGTGCTAGGGTATGAGCGAGGGGGGGAAGCTGGCAGGGATCATTGGGGGAATCGAAACATTAAAAATGGGAGCCCGCCTAAATATCAGATTAGAATTGAGGAAATCAGTTTGGTACTGTGCCGTCAGCAGGGGGGAGGAGATTTAAGCAGAAGTGAAAACGATCTAGTCTATAATTGCCCAGTGAACTTTTAAGTGATGCATCGTGTTTTAGGTTGTTATAATATTCTAATTTTATAATTGTGTTACCAACGCGCTATCCTTAAAAACGGCCTACTTAAAAACGGATACTTCGTAACACTTCCCTTTTTCTGTTTTTGCGTAAAAAAGTGTTCGGCATTGTTCGAACTCGAAAATCTTATTTAGGATCAACTACTTCCCCGAAACTACTGCCTGTGATGCGTTGAAATCCTTCACCAGAATTTTTTGAAACATTCAAAAAAACTGTATCAAATTCAATGAAGTTGCAAGCATTTCGAAACATTTCACCTTTTATAAGATGATGTTTCATCATCTCAGGGTCTACTGTAATTTATTAGCGGGTCTAATGAGCACCGCCATTCTGCACGCTAAAATCAAACCGCCGAACAAAAAAATTCGCTCGACTTGACGTGGCTCTCGATCCGGTTTTTTGGCAACCATTTGAGAGCTTTGTGGAGGTACCGCTAAACTACGAAAGAACATTTCCTACAATCCCACCACTTCGCCAAATGATGTTTCAGCGCTGAATTGGCTTAACAATCATTGATCTAATCTAATATGCGTGTCTATGCGCGGTTAAGCCGAAAAAGGCAGAGGATTCCAAATCTTTCTCGCGTCCTGCCAGGCTCCGCTATCCTTAATTTTTCCACAGCTATTTTTTTAAGAAATGCCGCGAATTTTAAGCCAAATAACTTCAATTAAAGGCACGTTTTAGAAGCAAAAATGATTTAGAGCTCGAAAACTTTGTGCAGCGGGCATTTAATTTTTTGCGCTTGAAATTACGAATATCCAAAAGAAAAAAAATAGTATGAAAAATTAAAGATATATTCGAAGATTGCGTATTAAAATTCAAGTAGATATTTCAGCTCAAAGCATAAACTAAAAGGTGCTAAAAATAAAAATTATTTCATCGAAATTTGTGTTTCAGAAACATGTTTCAAAAAAGTGTAGCTTTGACTGGAGTATTTTAAACCGCAATAAACATAGTTCCCACGGTTCTCCGCCCAGTAGAGAGGGCAGGTCAGCAGAGAGCATTTTGGAAGGGGATGGAAAGCAGGCTAGCAGAGAAAATTTGGGAAGGACAGACCGTACTGTAAGATCGCGTATGAGCATTGGAACAGCTTTGCTGTGAGTGCAAAGATGGGTGCTATTCCGCCATAATCCGAACAACTTGTTCCTCCTCCGAAATCCAACTGGACCTCCCCGAGGGGTGAAACTCGTGTTTTCACGGGTTTCTTTCGAAATGGAAGGAGAGAGAGAGACAGGGAGAGACAGAGAGGGAGAGAGAAAGAGAGAGAGAGAGAGAGAGAGAGAGAGAGAGGGAGAGAGAGAGAGAAGACTGGAAACACCACCAAAACTGGTAGACTCTAATGTTGAGCACGAGTGGTGCGGATGTCGAAATTTGGTGCCATCAGAGGCGTTTAACGGGACAGGAAAGACAATATTATGGATTTTTAGTTTCCCCCGGCTAAAAATCAAGTACCGACTCGATTGGCCCGTGGTTAATAGCTAAGCAGCTTAAACCGTTTACTGCTTTTTTTAACGCAACATATTTTTCAGACGAAAATTGCTGCTGTAAGTGTGGCTTTTGGTATCTTTAGGCAAAAAAGCCTTTGCGCGAAAGTTTCAGCTAGTTTCAAAATAACGCCTTATCGACCTTTGGCAATGCTGGGATTTGATCCGGCGACTAGGTTGAGCAT